TTTTAGGACGATCTTCTGGGTGAATTCCAATTTGCCAAAATCCTAATTTCAAATCAAAGTTGGAAAATATGTGAGCATGAGATATTTGATAAAATAGTGCAATTTGATTGGGCAAAGGGAATTTATCATCTGCAAGGAAGGTATTCAAAGGTTGGTAGTTGATAACTAACCTGAGCTTTCCTCGGATTTGTTCAGCTCTCTTATTTATATAAAAGGCTTCACAAGCCCAAGGAGAACTGATAAGCACAATTAACTGCTCCTTTATCAAATCATGTATCTCTGGCTTAGCTTGTTCTAGCAAATCAGGATTTAAACCTCCGTGAGAAGCTTTTGTGGGATTTATATCTTCCTTTTTCTTAAAAGGCAATTTAACATAAAAATTCTGATTTCTCCATAATGGATTTGTACATTTTTTGATAAACTCAGAATGGGAATTAGCACAACAGTCTGATATAATTTTTTGTTTGACTGTATCTAAGGTGTAGGGAGCATCTATACAGGCTATTCAGGGCAAGGTTAGGTTCCTATAATGTAATCTTTTGGAGGTCCATTGAAGTTTTAGTTGATGTAAAACATCAAATCCAAGTAAAAGGTCTTTGTTTGGCAATTAGTTGATGTTGAATAACGACTTTAGGAAACAGTTTAATCAAAATAGGTTTGCTAATTTGGATTATGGAAAGTCTCTCCATTCGCAGCTCAACAAGTTTGGTTGCACGTTTCCCAAAATTGTTTTGGTAGTAAATCAGGTTTCAAAATACTAGCTGATGCTCCTGTATCAAATAAGGCAGGTATGATCAAAGGCTTGGAATAATGTTTTTGGAGTATTTGACCAAGGGCTATTGGGGTAGGTTGAAAGGGTAAACTGTTTATGTCTGCAATTTCATCCTGCGAAGACAATATCTCTGGAACACTGGTGTTGCTTATCTCATTGAGTTCAAAATCATCAGAATAAGAAATGGATATCAGTGTGTTTGGGCTCTGTTCATCATCAATAGAAAACACATATTCTAAATCATCATCAATTTCTTCTTCCAAAACCTGAGACAAAAGATTTATTATCTTTTTTTTCTTTTTTTGGTTCTGGCAATCTTTTGCAAAATGTCCTTTCTTTCCACCGACATAGCATCTATCTCCTTTCGTGTTTTCGAAATCTTGATTGTCGGAGATATTTGAATCTTTTGAATCTCTTCTTTTTTCTCTTTTAGTCAAACTTCTTTTTTCTTTTTAGGATTGGTGGACATGAACACTGTTTTTCTGCATCACATTTGATCTTGAGATATGGTTTATCACAAAAATTTTCCCAGTAAATGCTTATTTTTTTCCATTTGTTTCACAAATTCAACTTGGTTGCAAAGTCTTTCAAGAGCATGGAGAACAAATTGATATCATTCACCAAAACTGGTGTTTTGAATAGTAAGTCGTTGGTTTTCCATTGTCTTTGTTACTTATTTTCCAAGAGTAGGAGGAATGGATTCAAGATAAAATTGTTTCAAATTTATATCATCAATCCCTCTTATTTTATGGTATCTTTTGTTCATCTTTGAAAAATGTTTTTCAAGATCTTGTCTCTTGAATGAACAACATTTAAGCTGTAAAAATTCTTCTCGGGCTGCAATTTGCTCATGTTTAATGGGGCCTGAGAATTCAGAGACCAAATAATTAAGGAATTCAACATTGGACTGACTATTTCTTAACTTTGTTTGCCGGTATTTTCCAAGACTTATGTACCAATCAAACAGGCATCCTCTTAGCCTTACAATAACTTTCGAAATGGTACTGGCTAAGGTATTTGCAGGATTAAGCATTTCTGAATGCACCCATCCTTGAATTTCTCTGAATCTGTCATTCCATCTTGAGGGTGGAATGTCATCAATAGTAAATCCTTTAGATGAATCTCCATAGGTTGGGGTAGGTTGAGGTTCTTGGTGGTTTAGAGGTCTAAATTCTTCTTCCATTACAGGGTCAGGTTCTTGAGGTGGTTCAGGGGGTTCCTCAGTCATGGCTTCTAAGGATTGTGTTTCAGTTTGAAGATTTAGTTCAAGTTGTTTAGTCAAGTTTTTGAGGAAGGAACTCAGATGATTCAAGGGCTCAGAGGAGGTTAATACCTGAGTTGGGACTGAAGAGGCTACAACATCAGATTCAGTATCAGAAGACTGTGAAACATTTGGGTTTCATTTTTAGGTGTGTGACGACTAAGATGAGCATGAACTTTTAAAGGTGGTGAAGTAACAGAAGGTTTAGGTAATGTGGTTTGTGATGAACTAGGTACTGAAATATTTGGTTTTTTCCGCAATTGGGGAAAGAATATTTCTTCAAGAAAACGTCTTTCATCTTCAAACGAACTTAAAGCTCGAAAACCAAAATTTCTTGGAGGAATTAAACCTGTAGGTGGGTAAAGGGCAATAGTAGGTTGGAAAGGATCAGGGTTTCTTAAAAGAATGATAACTTTGAGTATAAGGATTTGCAAGGAAGGGTTGAAATTGAGAATGATATTGTGGCTGACGGTGTTGAGATTTCATCTAAAGATCTTTTGCAAAGCTTTGTAATTGTTTTTCTAAAAATGTTTTTTTCCTTTCTTTTCCTTTCCTTTCCTTTCCTTGCTCATGAATATCCTTTACTGTATATAAAAATCTACATCAACCGTTCATGCAACAATTGAATCTTTTCTTTTAATTGCCAGTTAATCCCTGTAACATTGAAGACATAACATTTTGTTTTTGTTCAATTCGAAGTCATGCTAAATTCTGTGATTTAGCATTTTAAAATTGCCAGTTTAGGGTTGCTTCAGCTGGAGGGATAGATATACTTTTGAGCTCCTGTGACATCTCATGTACTGAGATTTTTTATCTTCCATACATGTTTTTCATTGTCTTAGATTTTTTCATAGTCATGTAATGGAGGAAAATTTGAAGCATAATTTGAACTTTGAGGGTCAAAAGCCAAGCATTCTGGAATGTGATTTTTTCTTTCAGATTTATCATTTTGATCATCCCATCCTGTAGAGATAATTTCTGATCAAAACCCTAACTGAAGAAACTATGCAAGTCCACAATTGGTGAGCATAGATAAGCTTTATATTGTTGTTCCCTTAAAATTAAGTTAACAACCATCAACCAATCACAACAAAGCATCTGTGGTTCAGCCCATCTAGTAAAAAACAGCTGCAGATGCAGAAGACAGATCATAAAAAATGAACAGTAAACTAATGCCCCATTGAAAAAACTACAAAAAAACTCTGGATGTAGAGAGAATTGGAGAAGCAATCAAGCAGATGGCCAACATCCTTAAAATTAAGAGTGTTGTTATGAGACAAGTGCACTTGAATCACTTCAAAATTTGACAGACTTAAAACCTAATAGTGCCATTGCGACCAAAAAAACAAAACACACTGAACCAAAACACAAGATCAAAACCCTAAGTGAAGAACTATCCAAGTCCACAGTTGGGGACCATAGACAAGTTTTATATTGTCGTTCCCTAAAATCAAGTTGACATCCATCAACCAACAAAGATCTTCGAAAAATTAATTCAATGAACCCCAAAAATAGCAAGCAAAGTCGAAATGGAAATACTAAAATAACAAGAAACCTTATTAGAATCAAAATCCTTCAAATCGACATCTTGCAATAGAACTACAAAAACAACCCTATACATTCAAGAGAATTAGAACAGAACAAAAGAAACATTCCTGTGAGAAGGAGAATGGCAAAACTTCTTGAGTATGAATGAAAAAAACATGAAGAAAGGGCTAAGAAATAAAAGAAAAAATACCCAAGGTCCAAATAAAAAAAGAAAAACAAATGAGATGAGCTTGAAGATCAGACCCCCAGGAAACCAAATTTAACTCACAATCAGGAAGGTTAGATCCTCCCTAAACAATTAAGAAACCCCACAAACAAAGGGTTGAGAGATCCACCCAAAAAGTAATTAGAAATAAAAAAAACCCCTCATTAGCAACATCTTCAGAAATCCAGAGCAAGGGGCATAAGATAAAAAAAAGAAGAGAAAACCAAGAAAACATTAATACACGAGGACAATAAGAGAAGCTAGGAATGGTCACCAAGGAACATATAAAACCAAAATATAGAAACGAGAAAACCAAGAAACAAAGAACATCACAAACAATGATAGAAACATCGTGTATCTCTTTCATACATTCATACAGACTTGACTAATCGTGGATCCAACCTTCGAAAGACCTCACAACCTCACAGCACAAGTCAAACTCTTGGACTTGACTGATAGAGAACTTCAGAGTGATATTGTATCCCTCTCTTCTTTCATACATTCATACAAGTCAAACTCTTGACTGATCGTGTATCCAAGCTTCGAAAAGACCTCACAAAAGACGGAAAAAACTAGAGAACAAGTTAATAAATGTAACAAAAATCATGCATATCTTCTCCCTGCTGTCTGTTTTTCCATAATCCGTGCCTTAAAAGACCTCAGAATAGGACAACTGCAAAAAAGCAAGTTAATAAAATATAAATAAAAATCAATAATGATAAAAAACTGCAAGAAACACACACTATCTACTAACTGATTTTTATTGATCCAGGAATTCTCGCATGCCTGCTAAGCCATAAAAGAATAATTGAGAAATAAATAAAAGCTATGCCCCCAAACAGTCACAACATTTGGCGTTGAAACCAATAAACATAACTAGACAATTAACAGGGACAAAATTACAAAAAAGAGATGAGTAAAATTTGTATACCTCTTTCTCTCTCAAATCCAGGAATTCTCGCATGCCTGCTGAGCCATAAAAGAATAATTGAGAAATAAATAAAAGCTATGCCCCCAAACAGTCACAACATTTGGCGTTGAAGCCAATAAACATAACAATACAATTAACAGGGACAAAATTACAAAAAAGAGATGAGTAAAATTTGTATACCTCTTTCTCACTCAAATCAGTCTGACATGCATAGAATGGGTAGAGACCTCTCGTTCTGAAATGGATCATCTGATTTGGTTGATATTGTTGATTGGGCCAAATGAGGTCTTAGCTTCAGGCTTGCTGTTGAGGAGTTTAGGAGCTCCAAAAACTTGCTGAAATCTCAATGTCTCATCAGCTCTAGCTGAGGCCACTGTACACCCATCTGGGCTCTGCATAGAACAACAAACTTAACATACAACTTTTCTCAAGGAAAAAGAAAAAAAAAACAGAAACAAATGGAAAGCAACTAATTCTCAAAACCAGAAATTGAAAAGTCACAAGATGAAAAATTATATACCTGGGCCATGAATAGAACTACACCCATCTGAGCTCTGCATAGAAACAACAAACTTAACATACAACTTTTCTCAAGGAAAAAAGAATAGAAACAAATGAAAAGCAACTAATTCTCAAAACCAGAAATTGAAAAGTCACAAGATGAAAAATTATATACCTGGGCCATGAATAGAACTCTAGAAGTATGCCCATTAAGCTCAGCCAACTTCACCATAGATGGATACTTCCACAGTGTCAATTGGTTTAGAGTAAAACCATGAGAGCTCAACAACTCTCTCTCATTCTTACTCCAAAGTAATGAACACACTTGAGACCCCGTATCCACTGAATTTATGCAAGCTCCAGTATGTGTATTCCAAAATTTGATACACCTATCAGCCCCACCTCCACCTGACTGATTTTATTGATTCAGGAATTCTCGCGTGCCTGTTGAGCCATAAAAGAATAATTGAGAAATAAATAAAAGCTATGCCCCAAAACAATCACAACATTTGGCGTTAAAACCAATAAACATAACAATACAATTAACAGGGACAAAATTACAAAAAGTAGATGTGTAAAATTTGTATACCTCTTTCTCTCTCCAATCATTCTGACATGCATAGAATGGGTAGAGACCTCTTGTTCTGAAATGGATCATCTGATTTGGTTGATATTGCTAAATGGGCCAAATGAGGTCTTAGCTTCAGGCTTGCTATTGAGGAGTTCAGGAGCTCCAAAAACTTGCCAAAATCTCAATGTCTCATCAGCTCCAGCTGAGGCCACTGTACACCCATCTGGGCTCTGCATAGAAATAACAAACTTAACATACAACTTTTCTCAAGGAAAAAAAAAACAGATACAAATGAAAAGCAACTAATTCTCAAAACCAGAAATTGAAAAGTCACAAGATGAAAAATTATATACCTGGGCCATGAATAGAACTCTAGAAGTATGCCCATTAAGCTCAGCCAACTTCACCATAGATGGATACTTCCACAGTGTCAATTGGTTTTGAGCAAACCCATGGGAGCTCAACAACTCTCTCTCATTCTTACTCCAAAGCAATGAACACACTTGAGACCCCGTATCCACTGAATTTATGCAAGCTCCAGTATGTGTATTCCAAAATTTGATACACCTATCAGCCCCACCTCCACCTGAAGCCAATAAATTGCTCTGAAATGGGCACCAAGCCAATGCCTTAACTGCCGCCATATGGTCCTCTAATCTATGCAGCGGTGAGTTGCTGGAATTAGATAAGCTTTGATCCCAAATATGGAGGATATTGTCATTTCCACCACTTGCTAGTTGTTTGCCTGAATTAGACCATTTGAGGCCACAAACTTCTTGTTGGTGGCCTCTGTAAGTTTCCACAATGTGTGATCGAACTCTCACATCGTTGTTGATAATGAGGCCATCATGGCCACCAGTTGTGAGAATATGAGAATTCCACGCAAGAGAGGGAATTCGCCCGCGGTGACCACCTCTTAGAGTTCGTAGCTGTAGAAAAACCACATGAGAGGTTTGTTAGTTAACAGTTCAGTTTGATGTTTGAGATGGCTTCTTCACGTAGACCATCCTGTGGGTTGCTCAATAGCTAAAACAATAATGAAAATAGATGCAGAAAACCCAAAAACACACAAACACAGAAAGAACCAATAATGCATGCTTGCACAGATATTTTGGCATAAACGTGAACCTGTGTAGTCGAAGTTACATCCCAGAGATGGACATCAGAATTGTTCAATCCAACAGCTATGTGCTGCCCATCAGGTGCCCAATTGACAGAGGTAACAGGGCCATTGTCATCATCGATGGTTGTCAGCTCAGTAGTAGATCCATTTGAACCATCCCATAGATAAACTGAGTTCCCAAGGGCAATGGCCAACACATTGCCACAACTCCAATCCAACAGATTCAAATAGTAATCATCCAACAACTCTGGGGCATCAAGGGTCCTCTCAGCAG